AATTGTATTTTTTCCAAATAAAGTTTTTCGAACCAAATATATGACACAGAGTTTTTCACTTGAAATTACTAATTAAACAAACAGTTTTTTAAGTTTATAATCGAATCAATAAAAAAGAAGTGAAATTTGAATCACTAATTTGTCAACAGTATGGCTCAAAACTAAAATTTTAAAAGATAATTAATTTTTTAAAATTATTTGTAGACAAACAGTTTCTTGGTCGATAGATTAATTCCATCGTCTTGAATTTAGTCCCCTCTGAACATCCTGAAAATGCACATGCTAATATTTGCCATATAGATTACTCTACTGATTGGGTTCATGCATCTTAAGTGCGATTTACTGCTGACACTTGTCACTTCAACCTATACTACTTCTGTGAAAGAAATATCTTCGCAAAGTTGACCTGTATTTTTGCGCATTGATGAATGTACAGCTACCGCCTGTTTTTTCGGAGTGATAACCTCCAGGCAGTTTCTTTTCTATGTTACTATTTTACCCATTTCTGGTTTCTTTTGCCGAATGCCAAACAAAATAACTATATTGCTTTTCTAGAACACGTAGTATGTTTTCATTTGTTAAAGTCTCCCACATAAAATATAACCATTTTATTTTACACCTATGGCGGTTAATCCATCAAGTTTTGCTGAAAAACTAAACTTGAAGTTTTAGATGTGAAAAACGCCGAGCGATGATTTGTTTTATTTACGAGAAGGCCCTGCAAAATTTACGAGAAGGCCCCCTACGAGAAGGCCCCCTAAGAGAAGGCCCTCCAATCCAGACCTTCAAATTGCCCTGATAGGTAACTATTGTTTTTGATTGACAAGAGCAAAGCATTACTTGTGCTTGAAAACGTATTTGTTGAAACTACTGACTTTTCGATTCCTCAATTGTGGCATTCCTGTTGTGTCCAGAAAAATCAAAGCACGGCCATTATTTGCAACTCTTACGTCTGCATACAAGGTCCTAAGGGTTACTTCATCATGATTAGAATTGAGTCGGTAGTCTTGTGATTACTAGGTGCAATCTATTCCACTGGATATTCGTACTTGACACCTCATATGTTCCCTTTCCTCATGAAAGTTTTTGATACACTTTTCTAAAAGCTATTTGTAGCAATTGATGCTAAGATAATCTGTACTTTCGTGCCAGGTATAATTATCTCCTCGTCTCCAAAACCTGGTTCTTTTAACGTTCTTGTATCCCATAATTTTTACAATCTGATTGACTGAGTGCAAAGAAGGTAGGAATAAAATTGGAGTTTTCATGCAGGTATCTTGCATCGCCCCACCTGCAGATTTTTTTCAGCCCTGTCACGGAATGTGTTTCCAAATACATGCAATACCTTAAGCCTACATTTGATGCTACCGGTTCAAACAGTACTTCTCCACTTTTCAGCGCTTCAGAGTTCCCTTTTGATTGAGTGTAATTGCTTCTTACTATATGATACTAGATCAGTCTTAATTAAGTTTTCAAAATCACGTGCTAAAATTGAATCAACGGACAGTTTCCCTAGGCATAGCAGTATTCTTATTAACTCACTAAAGAACGCTTCCTTGTTCTCCATGATGATGATTATATGTATTTCGTTGTCGCTAAGAAAATTACCTAAGCAAAAACACTATTATTATCATTATCATCAACAGGGTCTTATTACAAAAAATAATCCCCAAACCGTTCAGGCGCTGACCCTTTACTTGGATTTCTAGTTTTATAACCTTAATTACCTCAGGTTCCGTTCTTTGACGCCTTTTTGTCATCCTTTAAAGAGCTAGCTGCTATGGAAACTAATTTTAGTTTCGCAATTTTTTGCTGGACGTTTTAGACAAGGCTTCTATTTGATTCGCTGGTGGTTCTACTAGCTTGATCCTCTGCAGATGCTGATATAGCAATCGGTTTTCTAAAATCCAATGCTTCTGATTGGGTACTCAACTGATCGCAGTTTACCTTCCCGATGTTGCTGCTTTTCTCTTAGGGCTAGAACGACTAGGATATTCTCTTTTTGAGCTGGCATTGGGAAAATCTAACGAATACAAAATGTTTTTTTTTCTTGTTTCTCTTTTTCTTTTTTTTGTACTGTTCTTAGCGCCATTTTTTACCTTCCACTTCTTTAGCGTTTGTTTTTGTTGGTTCATACCTACCATAATGAGTTTTTGATCTTTTATAGATTTTTTTGTCATCAACCAGAAATTTTGATCATTTACAACCTGTTTGATTAAGTGTGGTCCGTTATAGATTGGTTTAAACTTCTTTTTCTTCATCTTGCAAAGGGTAGATTTAATAAGTAGTACTTCGTCGTTGACACTACACTCAGATCCGTAATGTTTTCTGTCGTGGTAGGTCTTTTGTTGTTCTTGTTCGCCACCCATTGTACCGCGCACCAACTTGTTGCTTGTTTGGAGTTCCTTCATTAGGTTCTTAACATAGTCGCTTGGCATTGCAAAAACTTCAATTTGGGATATTTCATACTTGCAATCTTTTGACAACGAGCAAGTCTGACCAAAGATCAAGTAAATCGGGCTGTATTTGTCACTGCATGAATTGAAGATTTTTTAACCATCATAACCGTTTGATGGTAATTGTCCAGTCGTTTTGGTTTTCTCCCACTGATTTCGTTTTCACTTTTTATGCTGGACATTTTTGACAAAAGTTTTTCCGAACCTTCTTTTTAGTTCGCTTGTGGGTCTACTAGATTGATACGCTACAGATAGTGATGTAGCAATCGGATCTCTAAAATCCAATGTTTTCGAAGGGGTTCTGAACTAATTGGAATCTATCCTTTTCGTTTTCCTTGCTTCTCTCTCAGGGGTGGCAAGACTAAGAGATTCTTTTTTGGACTGGCAATGGGAAACTCAATAACTGAGAAATCATTCAAAATAATCTTTTTTAACCTATCACAATGAATTTTTTGCTTTTTCTTAGTTTTTTTTGTCTCTAATCACAACCTCTTTAATTGTGTGGAACCGTTTGAAACTAATTGTCTGTCACTTGCAAAGGATAGTGTTAAAAAGTAGGTCCGTATTGTACACACTTTCCTTAGATCCGTAATGACTTCTGTGTAGTATGACTTCAACCCATGTAACGTGCACCAGTGTTTGGCGTGTTTGGAGTTCCTTCTTTGGTTCCTTACATAGTCGTTTGGCGTTGCAAAGACCTTAGTTTGGGATGTTTCATACATGAAATCTTTTGGCAAGGAGCAAGGGTGAACAATGAACATATCAAACGGGCTGTATTTTGTCACAGCATGAGTTGAAGATCTATAAGCCATCAAAAGGGTTTGGCTTTGTTTGACTCAGTCGATCTGGTTATCTGCCACATTACCTGTAAGTTTGACTCGTTGTCGATGTGCAGATTTGCTGGGCAGCCAAAACCTGTAAGTAAACAATCGACCGAAGCCTTAGCTACTGACTTGGCTCTTGTTTTTTTGGTACTGCTTTGTACCTTTTTGAGAACTATTATCAAATTGGAAGATTCTACTTGAATCCATTTTATTGCGGTAACGGTTTTTGGAGGATTTGGTTGATTTGTTACACAAATTTTTTGTTCATTTTGGTTACAAAAAGATTTTTCAACGAACTCAAGAAAGATATTATTGGCCTGGAATGAGATGAGATCTTAAAGATCGGGTTATTCAATGTGAAAAGCTTACTACCAAAAAAAACCTCACCAGAAACATGTGCACCCACTGCAGAATTGGAAGCCCTGCAATCCATTTTGGCAGATATCGCAGAATATTATGGGACAGTTACCGGAACCTGAAGCATTCAATTACATTGTTCTAATTGAAGATCAATTCTCAAAATGGTACGATGCAGTACTATGACAAGACCAAGAAGTCAAGGCAGTAGCTAAGGCTTTGATCGCTATTTTGGCTCAGGATTTGACTGCCCAGCAACCCTGCATAGTGACTAGGGGTCAAACTTTATGTCACTTCTTGTGCAGGAGAAAACCACAACGTCTGGTTCAAATATCGTCAAACAGTTCTGATGGCTTATAGATCTACAAATCATGCTGTGACAAAAACCAGCCCGGTTGATATGTTCTTTGGTTTTCCTTGCTCCTTGTCAAAATGAACATCCCAAACTAAAGTCTTTGCAACGCCAAGCGACTACGCAAGGAACCAAAGAACCAACTCCAATCAAGCCACACATTGGTGCACGATACAATGGTTGTCGAAATAAGCGACAAAAGTCCTACTACAAAGAAAACATTACGGATATAACTGAAGTGTGAACGATTCGGATCTACTTTTTAACACTACTCTTTGCCAGGGACAGACAAAAAATTTCTAACGGTTCTACTGCGAGCCACACATAATCAAAGAGTTTGTAAATGAACTAAATTTTGTGATTAAAGACAAAAAATCTAAGAAAGAGCAAAAAGTTCATTGTGATAGGTTAAAAGAGATTTTAAATGTTTTCTTTGTTGTTGAGTTTCCCATTGCTAGTCCAAAAAAGAATCTCTTATTCTTGTCACTCCTGAGAGAGAAGCAAGGAAAACGAAAAGGATAGAGTCCAATTAGTTCAGAATCCCTTCGAAAACATTGGATTTTAGAGATCCGATTGCTACATCACTATCTGTAGCGTATCAATCTAGTAGACCCACAAGCGAACTAAAAAGAAGGTTGGGAAAAACTATTGTCAAAAATGTCCAGCATAAAAAGTGAAAACAAAATCAGTGGGAGAAAACCAAAACGACTGGGACAAATACCATCAAACGGTTATGATGGTTAAAAAATCTTCAATTCATGCAGTGACAAAGTACAGCCCGATTTACTTGATCTTTGGTCAGACTTGCTCGTTGTCAAAAGATTGCAAGTATGAAACATCCCAAATTAAAGTTTTTTCGATGCCAAGCGACTATTTTAAGAACCTAATGAAGGAACTCCAAACAAGCAACAAGTTGGTGCGCGGTACAATGGGTGGCAAACAAGAATAACAAAAGACCTACCACGACAGAAAACATTACGGATCTGAGTGTAGTGTCAACGACGACGTACTACTTATTAAATCTACCCTTTGCAAGATGAAGAAAAATAAGTTTAAACCAATCTATAACGGACCACACTTAATCAAACAGGTTGTAAATGATCAAAATTTCTGGTTGAAAACAAAAATCTATAAACGATCAAAAATTCATTATGGTAGGTATGAACGCACAAAAATACACGCTAAAGAAGTGGGAGGTACAAAATGGCGCTAAGAGCAGTACAAAAAAAAAGAAAAAGAGAAAAAAAAACCATTTTGTAGTCGTCAGATTTTCCCAATGCAAGCTCAAAAAGAGGATCTCCTAGTCGTTCTAGCCCTAAGAGAAAAGCGGCAACATCGAGAAGGTAAACTGCGATCAGTTGAGTACCCTATCGGAAGAATTGGATATTAGAGAACTAATTGCTACATCAACCTTTTCAGAGGATCAACCTAATAAACCAACCAACGAACCAAATAGAAGTTTAGAAACTTAAGCATTGTCGAAAATACCAAGAAAAAAAAGCAAAAACAAAATCAGAATCGAAATCAGTTGGCTCTTTAAAGGATGATAATAAGGCTTCACAGAACGGAACAGCAGGAAATAAAAGGTAAAATACTAGAAAACCGAGTCAATGGTAATCACCTAAGCAATTCGGGGACTGTTTCCTGAATAATGACCCTGATCATGATATTAAATATAGTGTTTTTGCTTAGGTAATTTTCATCGTGATAACGAAATACAAATAATCATCATCATGGAAAACAAGTAAGCGTCCTTTGGTGAGGTTACAATAATACTGCTATGCCTAGGGAAATACTATCTTTATTAGTTTATGGTTTTAGAAAAAAACACAAATAATTAAGACTGAAACAGTGTGATTGAGTAAAAAAAAATGCTTTGCACTCAATCAAAACTGAAACCTTAAGTGCTAAAAAGCGGCAAACAACTGTTTAAGCCGGTAGCATCAGAATTGAGATTAAAGTTTTGCATGTATTTGGTGTCATAATCCGTGACGGGTCTCAAGTATGCAGCTGGTGGGACGATTCAACATACTGGCATGATTAGTTTAAACTTACTTCTACCTTCTATCCGCTCAGTCAATCACCTTGTATGAAATCATGGAAATCAAGGCAGGTAAAACTTACTAGGTTTTGGAAACGAGGATATAAATATACTACCGGAGAAATAAGATAAAATCATCTTAGCATCAGATACTTTGAATAGGTTCACTGAAAAATACCAAAAAACTTCATGAGGAAAAGGTAACATCAGAGGTGTTAAATTGGATTCCACGTACTACCCAAAGAAAACGGGCTCAGTTCAATTGAATGATGAAGTAACCTTTAGGACCTTGTGTGGAGAGGTAAGAGTTGCAAATACCGGTAAAGTTCCGGTTTTTGAGGACCCATCAATTTCGGATTTGACTGGTTAACCTACGTGAAAACAACTGGAGAACCAGTGTTTTCGTTTTCAAATTTTTCAAAAACAAGTAGTGCTTTGCTCTTGTCAATCAAAAATAATAATTAGTTGTCACGGCAAAATGAAAGGTCTGGAAAAGAGAGGTTCTGGAAGTTTATGGAGGTTTTAAAAGATCAAACTATTTTGCAGGGCCTACTCGAAATTAAAACAAATTATCACTCGATGTTTTCTTATCTAATAACACCATACTTAGTTGTTCAGAAAAATTTGATGGATTAATCCTTAAAGATGTAATACAGAGTGAGTTGGATACGTTTTTATACCAAATGAAAGTATATTACCTATTCTAGAAAAGCGCGAAAGTGATATTGATGATTTCATTTGGCATTTAGCAAAAGAAACCAGAAGTGGTGAAAATATTATCATAGAAGAGAAATCGCCTCACTCCGAATGGGCCGGAGGAAAATTGTACATTCATCAATGTGCAAAAGTATAAAGCAAAAATAAATTTTGCACAAAAGAAGTACCGGTTGAAGTCACAAGTGTTAGCAGTGAGTCGCACTTGAACGTTTGGGCCCAATCAGTTGAAAAATTTATCGCAACTATTCTCTCAGTACTATAGAGTCATCTTAATGCTTTTGAATTAGGTAATGGATCCTGGGTATTATATCCAACACAACTGAAGTTGATTCCCACAATCTTTAAAATTAGATCAACCGGCGAAAAATATCAGCTGTTACCTCATATGATTTAGCCAGTGAAGAACTTTTCTGCGATAAAAAATTGAGAGATAGCCAGCTATCAAAACTGATGAAACTTAGTAGGAAGACAATAACAGGATGAGAGGTCTTCCTGGGACAAAACGGGATATACTCTCGTAATCAATCGAGTCATTTCGATTTATACTTTTCACCATTCAGCTGCTTCTATTTTTCTTGGTTTGCAGAAACGGAACAAAACTAAAAAGTAGAACTGTGCATGTGAAAGAATTTTTTTTGGCAAAGGAAACAAAGTTTTATTGAAGAGAAACCAGCAAGGAACCAGAGATGAACAGATATAATGAATTTGGTTTAAAAAATCGAAACGTTAGCATGAAAAGGTTGGAATTTTTAGGCAAACAAATTAAGATACATTTGAGTGCAATTAGGGCAGACGAAAAAAAACGAACACAGCATAGTCTGTGGGATGAAGATAAGAATACGTATGATTTTAGGCCAACGACAAGAGCCTTTACTTGGAGACTTTGTGTACTTTTTGCACGAACTGTTTGAAGTTGAAGCTATGGTACGGCAACACGTATAGCAAATAGTTGGTGCTAACACCAAATACGGCACTGTGGTTCCGTTGAAACAGTTGCAGCCATCAAATTTGGTGAGCCGGCCACCAATATTTCTCGAAAGACTGCAAAATCTTCATCACTACATTGGGGATGCAAAAAAATACCTTGAGAACAGCGAGAAGAATTTTTGAGTTTTTTTTTTAATATTTTGCATTTTTTTTTCTTTCCAATGGCCACTTACTTTGAAAACGGTTGCAGTTATACTTCTGAGCGCCCATTTTTAGTGCATCCGAGTCTCTGTGACATTTTTTTGTTACCTGAACTAGGGCGAACTCTAACCGTAGCCAGGCATTTCGGAAACAGTTCTCCACTCTGCCATTAAGACTTTTTGAGCAGTCAGATAGACATTTACAACTTATTGTAAGGTATATATCGATATATCAAGCATAAATGAGGGTACTTATCAAGGACGGCGATATTTTGAATTAACAAGCTGTAAGTTATAAAGCAGCTCTGTCGTGAGGGTAAAAATTCCTTTTTTAAGGAGGGAAGTAGTGTGGGGAGTCGGAATAGTTTCTAAAAAAAATCAAGGTTGACACCTGATTTATTTGAGTAATTATGATGTCTGAATCTGGAAATCAATTAACGATATTGACATCAAGACCAACGACTTGTCAAGTGAAGGAAATTTGTTGTATACAATTGTCAAGATTATATATGAAGCATTTAAAAACACAGCTGAGAAGATCCAGAATCTTGCTCAGCTGGTATTAGCGACAATGAAGTGGAATTCGAGCAAACTCGGGACAATCAGAAAAACTTGAAGTCTCCCGAAACATGTTGACAGTTATTCAATACAAATAAAATCTTCTAGCTGTAGCGCAGTTCTGGCTGTAGCTGAACTGAAAATGGCCGCGGTGAAAATGGCCGCTTTAGCGGTACCTTGTTGCACAAGTATTTGTCATTCAAGGAACTGATACTCTCGCTAGAAATCAAATTTGTTTTCTCTGTCATTTCCCTAGTCATTTCAGTAGTTGTCTCAGTGTTGGCACTTCGATCTTATCGAATTACCTCGATCTTATCATGCTAGTTTTCCGAATCCTTTTCTCGGAAGAACTACTTCAGAGAGAGAACACAAGTCACCTTAGTGTATCCGTTTTATGTTCCTTAACCAATCCAAATAGTCATGACGGTTGACCACCAACTGACCTCAACCTTTTGCATAACCCAACTTTCATCTCATTCATACTCTTTTCCTTGAAGATACTAGTCAAATAGAAACCCTGGTGAAAAATTGTGCCAGATTGAATCGGCTGCTAAGAGATATGCTACGAATGTGAGAGACAACCGCTGACAAAGGAGTTGAAAAAGCCAGAAAGTATTTGAAGGACAACGGTCTTCTGTCAGTGCCGTTTGATTTGGTGGTGGGATTTAGTGTAATGGTAAACGAGACGTGTATGAGGAAGATAAATGCCTTTTGCAGGCTGTACAATTTAGTGAGAGAAAGATTCTGACAGACAATGTTGCCATAAGAATTGAAAAAGGTAAACGAAGAAGTATTTGCCAAGAAAAAGAACGAGTAGATCAACGAGGCGGTGTATACTGAGTTAAAATCAACGGGGGCGCAGCCGGCTAGGCTGTATGGATAAGCAAAAATGCCCAAACAAGACATCCACTTAGAGAAAATAAAAATGGACCCTGATGACTAGTGTCATATTAAATGATGGTTGGAACGAGTTCTAACAGTACCTCCAATGATGTGGATTTTGACTGCAAATGCATATATTGCAAAAACAAAATACAGGACAAAGATCCACCAATTAAATTCGACAAATATACTGGCTGGGTTCATCAGAAAGGTAGCAAACTACCAAAAGAGGCCATGGTGTACATGTCAAGAGATGAGTATTTCTGATTTTGCAATCAAGGCAGAGGGGCGGCGAAGCAAAACATCACGAATGTGGTGGAAAATGACGACGAAAATATCAGAAGATCTTGCTGCAATCAAAGAATCAATTGCTGATTTGAAGGGAAGTCAATTATTGATAATAATTATTCTGAAAAAAACCCTATTGAATCTAAAACTGAAACAAACGTTGAAATTCGGATCTCAGGGTTGGAAGTATATAAAGAAAAGCCAAAATCTCAATTATCATCCCTAATTAGTTTTGAAACACGTCAAGGAGAACAAAAATCTGATATAATAAATTTTCGAAGGCTTGGAAAACAAAAGAACGAGGAATGTTGCAAAACTATTACGGGATGTTCTTTACTTTTTTATGAAAATTTTTTTTTAATGTGCTGATTTGAAAATCTTCCCCAAGACAGTCCGTATTACATGCAGA